AAATAAAATAAACCGGGCACAGTGGCTCACGCCTGTAATCTCAACCCTTTGGGAGGCCCAGGTGGGCAGATCACAAGGTCAGGAGATCGAGTCCATCCTGGCTAACACAGTGAAACCCTGTCTCTACTAAAAATGCAAAAAAATTAGCTGGGCGTGGTGGTGGGCACCTGTAGTCCCAGCTACTCGGGAGGCCGAGGCAGGAGAATGGCGTGAACCCGGGAGGCGGAGCTTGCAGTGAGCCGAGATCGCGCCACTGGACTCCAGCCTGGGCGACAGAGCGAGACTCCGTCTCAAAAAACAAACAAACAAACACACACCACCAAACCTTGTTTAGCCTCCCATTCCGTTATCTAGAACAGCCATGTCAGACCAGAAGGGCACATCCCAGAACTCAAAACCATGCTTTTCCCTGGGTGAGGAGTAAGGGGTGGTTCTCATTTTGGTTGTGTGTTTGTGTGTATACATTTTCTGCAATCAACAGGAGTTACTTTTATGATTACAGGGAAAAGGGCAATCAATACTTAAAACAGCAGGAACCTGCTTAACTCTTTAAGTGCTGAGAGCCAGCTAGTGTTCAATAAAAGCTTCAGGACGGGCTTGGCATGAGCTGACATTTTTGCAGGGGTTAGTCTGGCTTGAAGGAGGAGGGAGGAGGGCAGCCGTGGAGGGTGGTGTTTTCTGTACTGCGTGTGTTTGAGGAGGCAGGGGGAGCAGTTTTAGATTCACAGAGAAACTGAACAGAAGGTGCAGAGATTTCCTATACGCTCCCCACTCCCCCACACGCACAGCCTCCCCGATTTTCAACATCCTGCACCAGAGTGTAGGTAAGAAGGCGAATCCACAGAGTAGACAGTGGTCACTCTTAGGAGCATGGCCTTGCCTGGCTCTGGGAAACCCAAACTCCAGGGCTCCAAGACTCCACCCAACTCTCCACCTACTCCCAACCCCCAATTCAGCAACAACCCCAGGCTGGAGTGCAGTGGCGTGATTTCTGCTCACTGCAACCTCCGCTCCCCCAAGCTCAAGCAATCCTCCCACCTCAGCCTCCCCAGTAGCTGGGACCGCAGGCCTATGCCACCACACTCAGCTAGTTTTTATTTTTATTTTTTCGGACAGAAAAAAAAAGAGTACAGTGGTGCGATCTCAGCTCACTGCAACCTCCACCTCCCGGGTTCAAGTTCTCCTGCCTCAGCCTCCTGAGTAGCTGTGATTACAGGTGTATGTATGTATGTATGTATTTATTTATTTATTTATGCCCAGGCTGGAGTGCAGTGGCATGATCTCGGCTCACTGCAACCTCCGCCTCCCGGGTTCAAGCGATTCTCCTGCCTCAGCCTCCCAAGTAGCTGGGATTACAGGCGCCCGCCACTACACCCAGCTAATTTTTTGTATTTTTAGTAGAGACAGGGTTTCACCATGTTGGCCAGGCTGGTCTTGAACTCCTGACCTCAGGTGATCTGCCCACTTCAGCCTCCCAAAGTGTTGGGATTACAGGCATGAGCCACTGCGCCCGGCCTAATTTTAACATTTTTTATAGAGACAGAGTCTTGCTATATTTCCCAGGCTGATCTCGAAGCCCTGAGTCCAAGTGATTCTTCCGCCTCGGCCTCCCAAAGTGCTGGGATCACAGGTATGAGCCACTGTGCCCACTAACACCACATTTCTTGTGCAAGGCAAAGACTTGGCTATGTGAGCAGCCACAGCCCTGCCCTCTTGGCACTTTGAAGCTCAGGGCAGCTGTCAAGCAGGCGACTGCAGAACCATCTGCTATGCTGCCTCCGTGTTAGTGGCTTCCCAGGGGAGAAACCAGGGCCACTGAGAATGGAGAAGTTGGCCTGGCTCATCCAGGGGATGGCTGGGAGCTTCACTGGGGAACTGGTGTGGGGAAGAGTCAGGGCAGGCGTCCTGGCTGGGGCTTGGTGGGCCTGAGGAGGCGAGTGCAGGCTGGGAGGCAGGAGCAGCCCTGGGAGACTCCTTGGTCCTGTTGTCTCCATCTCCATGACCCCTAGTGTGTCTTGTGCAGGGCCAGGCCTCTGCACATGTCCACAGAGGTCAAACAAACCCTCCAACACACCAGGAATTCCTTCCATCCACTCACGGTTTTTTTTTTTTTTTTAAACAAAGTCTCACTCTGCTGCCCAGGCTGGAGTGCAGTGGCTGGATCTTGGCTCATCTTCGGCCGGCGCAGCAGCTCACACCTGTAATCCCAGCACTTTGGGAGGCCGAGGCGGGTGAATACGAGTTCGAGACCAGCCTGGGCAACATGGCAAAACCCTGTCTGTATACCAAAAATACAAAAATTGTCAGGCCTGGCGGCGGGCACCTGTAATCCCAGCTACTCGGGGAAGCTGAGGCAGGATAATTGCTTGAACCCGGGAGGCGGAGGTTGCGGTGAGCCGAGATTGTGCCACTGCACTCCAGCCTGAGCGACAGAGCAGGATTCCGTCTCAAAAAAAAAAAAAAAAAAACAAAAACACACACACACACAAAAGTCACTCTTCTTCACAATATGGGGAGGTGGGGACCAGCTAGAGGTTTGGGGCTGGACCTCTGCTTGGTGGTGGTTGTGATGGTCCCACAGGGGAGCCACTGTGGCCCAAAGGCCTGAGCCATGTGGGCCCGGGCCTTGTTTCCTGGACTGTGGGCTTCCTGGGTGCTGGGCCAGCTCCCAGGGAGTGACTCCTCCCCAAACTGTCCCTTTGCCTTGGGAGCGGAACCACGCAACAGCCTGACTGGCCCTGGCAGCCCATGCCTTGTGACCAGTCACCAGAGAGGGCACATGGGACAGAGGCCAGGGGTATCAGGGACATCCCCTGGTCAGACTCTGCTAGTTTCCCTGCCTTTCACTACGTGGCTGGACCACAGGGGAAGAAATGGCAAGAAACTGTGTCTAACTCTCCCTTGATACAAATTCAAAGCTGGCTTGGGGGACGGGCACCTCTGGGGCACACACCTAGACAGATCTAAGCCAGCAGCATGGCTGTTTGCTAGGCACTGTCCTGTGCCTGGGGCTTAATTTACCGAGGTACGGCTGAGTGACCATGAGGAGAGGCCAAAGCCATTGCAAGATTGATCATATTTCCTGAGAGAAAGGGCACCCATGCCATGCAGGGCCTGTAGGGAACCCCAGGTTTGGTCAGGAGGCAGAAGCAGGAGCGAGGGGAGAGCCCAGATCTGAGGCTTTCTTGGGGTTTCCATGGGAAAGGCCTGACAGGGCAGGGAAAGAGTTTAACATTGGCTAGTTTAAGTAATTCTAGCAGGCTCTGGGCTGCAATGTGGTCTCTAGTCACCTGATACCTGGCCCTGGGTGATTTAGGGCAGGGAGAATCTTGGCTTGCAGGGCGAGAATTAGATAAGGAGGTGGCTGGGGCTGTAGACTTGGGGTTGTCTTTTTTTTTGTTCGTTTGTTTGTTTTTGAGACGGAGTCTTGCTCATTCCCCCAGGCTGGAGTGCAGTGGCATGATCTCGGCTCACTGCAAGCTCCACCTCCCCGGGGTTCACGTCATTCTCTTGCCTCAGCCTCTCCAGTATACAGGCGCCCGCCACCACGCCCGGCTAATTTTTTGTATTCTTAGTAGAGATGGGGTTTCACCATGTTAGCCAGGATGGTCTCAATCTCCTGACCTCGTGAGCCACCCACCTCAGCCTCCCAAAGTGCTGGGATTACAGGTGTGAGCCACCGCGCCCGCCCGGGTTGTCTGTTTTGTATATGAAAGGCATGCTCTGGCCCGGGCCTTAGCGATCTCTCTTTTTTTTTTTTTTTTGAGATGGAGTCTTGCTCTATGGCCCAGACTGGAGTGCAGTGGCACAATCTCGGCTCACTGCAACCTCTGCCTCCTGGGTTCAAGTGATTCTCCTCCCTCAGCCTCCCGAGTAGCTGGGATTACAGCTGCCTGCTACCTTGCCCGGCTAATTTTTTGCATATTTAGTAGAGACGGGGTTTCACTGTATTAGCCAGGATGGTCTGGATCTCCTGATGTTGTGACCCGCCCACGTCGGCCTCCCAAAGTGCTGGGATTACAGGTGTGAGCCACCGCACCTGGCCTGGCCTTTGCTATCTCTAAGAATTGGCTAACCCTGAGCCCAAATGCCAGAGCACCAAGGATACAGAAAATAAGAAAATGTAGTTAATAGAACCGGCCGGATGGTGAATGGATGCCAAATAGACAAATACTGAATCTAAGAAAACACAGAACAGGCACTGCCTCTGGGCTCGGCCCTCGCCAAGCCCTGCGCGTGCTTTAGGACAGGGAAGTCTCACCACGGTATTTCTCCTACACTGGAAGTGGAAAAACATGAGTGATCATGTCACTGCCCAAGGTCAGCTGGCTCCTAACCACACACGGTTTTTCCACTGCTTTTCCTGGCAAGACAAGCTTACTCAGTGCCCCTTCGGGGAGCTTCCTGCTGTCCATGTCCACAGGGCTCCGGGAGCCCAAGTCCCCTCCCACTGATCACCGGGAGCTGCCTGTAGCCCCTCCTGGGATGGATGAATAGCTGCCAAGTGACAGAAACCAAGATTTTTCATGCCTGCAGGTTACTCTAGTCCCACTGGCATCATATCTCAGCATCATCAAATATTTAGGGAGTGCTCAGCTGCATTAGGAGCTGGACTTGCAAACAGTCTTTCTGTCTTGGGGAAATCCACAATTTGAATGGATCAGAATTTGCCTGTCACGTTCTCTGTGCCAGGCACGGGGGCAGGGGTGGAAGCACACGGGCCTCTGCCTCCTTGGCGCGCTGTAGGCACGAGCCTAAAGTCATCAGGTGACAGTCCCCGCCACGTTCCGGGGCGCCCCGACGGCTCCAGCAGCGGGTGGGGTGGGAGGCCTCCGGACGCCGGGATGGCCAAGAGGAACCTGGGCTGGAGGGGGCCGAGGCCCGGCTGCGACTGGGGGAGGGCCCGGGACCGGGGCAGAGGCAGCGCGAGGCAGAGGCAAGCACTCGGGCGGAGGCGCAGCCCCAGTCTCGGGGTGCGGAACAGGAACCTTCCCAGCCACCTTCGTCTGAGACCTTGCAGGCGGCTGGAGGCCGGGACGCAGCAGTCCCCTGCCAGTCAGCTTTCAGCGCGAGGGGCCGCTGGCGCCCCGGTGTGCGCGCTCCGGGGCCCGGCACCCTCATGCATGCGCGTCCACCCACTGCGTGGACTACAACTCCCGGCGTGCCCCGCGCGCCTCCTGGAAGTGATCGCCCGAGTCGCCTCCGACCTCTGCGCTGCGCTGGCGCGCCGGGCCTGGGGAAGGGGCGGGCGCGCCTGGGAACCGATGCCCGGGAGCGGAGGCCGAGATGGCTTCGGCGGGAGGCGACGAGTGCGAGGGCGCAGCGCCAGAGGCCGACCGACCACACCAGCGGCCCTTCCTGATCGGGGTGAGCGGCGGAACTGCCAGCGGGAAGGTAAGGGGCCGGGCGGGCCGGGGTCTCGCCTCTCGCCGGTTCCTACAAGCGGCCCGGTCCGGCTGGGGTCCAGAGAGGAGACCCCAGCCCCGGCCGAGGGGCCCCTTCCCAGGCGCGGGCAGGGCGCGGGAGCGAAGGGGCTGCGGGCCGCGATGGGCCGGGGCGGGCTGGGGCGGCGGGCGAGGGGTTGGGTCGCTGGGCCTCGGGGCTCCCCCACAGCCTCTCCACCGGCCAGGCCCCTCAGAGCCCCCAGTCCGAGCTGACCCGGTTGGGCCCCCGCGGTCCCCCCACTGAGACCATCCACACCTGTTGGTGTCCTCCCGCCTCCCAAGCATCCCCCGCAGGGGTCGGGTGGGTCAGTGTCTCCAGAAGCCAGCCCCGTGCAGAAGCCCCCAGGAGGGGCCCCGTGCCTGTCACAGCACGAGAGTTTCCAGGCGGGAATCCCGCTTCTGTGTCTCCAGTCGACCGTGTGTGAGAAGATCATGGAGCTGCTGGGACAGAATGAGGTGGAGCAGCGGCAGCGGAAGGTGGTCATCCTGAGCCAGGACAGGTTCTACAAGGTCCTGACGGCAGAGCAGAAGGCCAAGGCCTTGAAGGGACAGTACAATTTCGACCACCCAGGTACATCGAGAGCCCAACGGTGTGGGGAGGGCAGACCCCATTCTGGGCGGCCGCTCACCAGCTGCGCTTGGGTCCAGGGTTGGATGGATGCAGACCCACTTGGGCTGTTCCCCCCAGCTCCCCACACAGCCTGCAGTGGAGTTGGCTGCACTGTGAAGTCAGGGAAACTTTGCCGAGTTCTCTGGGCCCAGGGTGTCCCCACAGGAGCGTGGTTGGAGCCAGTGAGGAAACCTGTTGCACCGTGGGGAGCCCTGCCCTGCCACAGCTGTGATCCTGGAGAAATCCTCCCATCTTCCCTTCCCACCTTGCGGCCTTCAGGGCCCTCCACACACACCTCTGCCGGCTGTGGCCCTTCATTTCCCTCCCCTGCTTTGGGGCAAAGTCCTTAGAGAGGCCAGCGTGGGAGGTGGTGGGTAAACTAGTGCTGGTGGCCTGAAGCTCCGGGCTAGGTAAACAGGGACAGATGCGGCAGGGAGACACCTGCCACTGCTAGAAGCTTCCACCCTGGCTGGCTGGCATGGTCAGCCTTTTCCCAAGGACTTGTGGGAAGAAGGCCTGCAAAGCCGCAGTCTAACCAGTTAGTCCCAGAAAAAGAGAGAAGCGGAGGCCCAGCCTACCCACCTGCCGGGAAGAACTGATCAGAAAACCCCTGTGTTCTCGCATCCCAGTGGCACAGAGCTTGGGCAGTGGCACAGCCCGAGAACAGCAAGGACAGGGTCATCTTGTGATCTGCAGGGCTGCAGAGGACGCTGTTGCTACCAAACCTAAACTGTAGGGCAGGTCCTAGTCTACCTGTGTCCGGGTCCTCAGTGTCCCCAGCACCCAGCTGTGCTGACCCTAGAGCAGAGAGGGTTCCCTGCTGTCCGCTGCAGGAGAGCATCCAGCCTGTCTTACCTTTGTCTCCATCCCTGCAGATGCCTTTGATAATGATTTGATGCACAGGACTCTGAAGAACATCGTGGAGGGCAAAACTGTGGAGGTGCCGACCTATGATTTTGTGACGCACTCAAGGTAAGCAGGTGGTTCTTGGGAGGGCCCAGGAGAGGGGCCGGCTAGGACGTCCCCTCTGGGGCTCACACAGGCCTGCCTGGTGGCAGGCCTCCCCCAGTTGGTTTCCGTGGGTCTTCCACCCCCTCCCACAGAGTCAGTGTCCCTGGAGTGGAAGCTGACTGTGTGTCTGCAGCAGAGCCCCTTTCCCCGTGCCCCTCTCAGGTTACCAGAGACCACGGTGGTCTACCCTGCAGACGTGGTTCTGTTTGAGGGCATCTTGGTGTTCTACAGCCAGGAGATCCGTGACATGTTCCACCTGCGCCTCTTCGTGGACACCGACTCTGACGTCAGGCTGTCTCGAAGAGGTAAGGCGGCCGTGGGCCTCCCTGCCTGCCTGGCCAAGGCTGGCGGCGGGCCCTGAGGTCTGATGCATGCCTGCCTCTCGCTGCTGCAGTTCTCCGGGACGTGCGCCGAGGGAGGGACCTGGAGCAGATTCTGACGCAGTACACCACCTTCGTGAAGCCGGCCTTCGAGGAGTTCTGCCTGCCGGTACCTGCGCTTGCTGCTTAAGAGTCTGTTTTCCCCTTTCACAAGGACACGTGGGACCCAGTGCTGTGAGAGGGCTGAGTGCTGAGTGACAGTGATCTGATTGAAAAGAAGGAGAATTTGGTTCATTACGGCCACATACCCTGGGAGTAGTTCTCAGCTCTAAAAACATTCTCTGTGCCTGCTCCTCCCTCTGCCTAAAAAAGCCCCATATCTCCCCCACATCCACACTAGCCGCTTCCTCCCTGCCTCAGGTCCTTGCCCAGCGTCCCCTTTCAACAGTGAAAACCCTCTGCACCTAGCGCCAGCCTCTCTGCTTGCTTCCTTTTTGCGGGGCACTACTCATCATCTGACACGTCCTGGGTGCTTATCCCCTCAGGTCATGTTAGGCTGTTGACTGCCGAGACCGGGATCTGGCCCTCAGAAGGTGCTTCATAGCTGCTCCTCCAGGGCCTGTGTCCCCGGGCTGCTCCGGGCCAGTGCTCTGAAATCTCAGAGCGAGCACTGTGGACAGATCCCAGCTGGCTCGCAGAGGGCAGGAACTCCCCGCTGCGCACCCACCTGTCTTTCCTCCGTTCCTCCATCTTGTGTTTCTGGCTTGATGGGACTTGTGCTCTACTCAAATTGGAGTGTTTTAAAGAGAACATTTTGCCTGTTCTCTTTAAAAGGTAAAAACACAGCACAAAGGAGCTGGAACCAAGATTCCTGCCTTTGATACATAGGTCAAATAAGTTCTATCTGCTGCTTTTTTTTTTTAGATAGAGTCTCTTTTGTTGTCTAGGCTGGAGTGCAATGGCGTGATCTCGGCTCACTGCAACCTCCACCTCCCAGGTTCAAGCAGTTCTCCTGCCTCACCCTCCCGAGTAGCTGGGATTACAGGCACCCGCCACCACACCCAGCTAATTTTTGTATTTTTAGAAGAGATGGGGTTTTGCCATGTTGCCCAGGCTGGTCTCGAACTCCTGGCCTCAAGTGACCCACCCGCCTCGGCCTCTCAAAATCCTGTTGAGCCACTGTGCCTGGCCCTTTTTTTTTTTTTTTTTTGAGACAGTCTCGCTCTGTCGCCCAGGCTGGAGTGCAGTGGCCGGATCTCAGCTCACTGCAAGCTCCGCCTCCCGGGTTTACGCCATTCTCCTGCCTCAGCCTCCCAAGTATCTGGGACTACAGGCGCCCACCACCTCGCCCAGCTAGTTTTTTGTATTTTTAGTAGAGGCGGGGTTTCACCGTGTTAGCCAGGATGGTCTCGATCTCCTGACCTCGTGATCCGCCCGTCTCAGCCTCCCAAAGTGCTGGGATTACAGGCTTGAGCCACTGCACCCGTCCTTTTTTTTTTTAATTTTTAATGAGGCAGAGTCTCGCTCTGTTGCCCCAGGCTGGAGTACAGTGGTGCAATCACAGCTCACTGCAGCCTTGACCTCCTAAGCTCACGCAATCCTTCCACCTCAGCAACCTGAATAGCTGGGACCACAGGCATGCACCACTATGCTCGGTTAATTTTTAAATTTTTTGTAGAGATGGGGTCTCCCTGTGTTGCCCAGGCTGGTCTCCATCTCCTGGGATCTAAAGTAGGTGATTTGCAGTAAAACTCTGGATATCAAATCTGACCCAGCGACCTGAATAGAGGAAGTGCTGTCACCTGCTGTGTCCTGGGCCCAAGCCCCAGAGATGTTTTTGGTTATTCGTTTGTTTGTTTGCTTGTTTTTCGAGACAGGATCTCACTCTGCCGCGCAGGCCCAAGTGCTGTGGTAAGATCTTGCTTCACTGTAGCCTCCACCTTCCTCACTCAAGTGATCCTCCCACCTCAGGCTCCTGAGTAGCTGGAGACTACAGGCACACACCACCACGCCTGGCTAATTTTTCTTTTTATTTTATTTTATTTTATTTGCAGAGACAGGGTTTTGCTATGTTGGCTGGGCTGGTCTCAGACTCCTGGCTTCAAGCAATCCACCCACCTCAGTCCCCCAAAGTACTGGGATCACCGGTGTGTGCCACCGCGCCCAGCCTCAGCCCCACCCAGAGCCATTCTTGAGCTGCTTTTTCCTTCATCTTCATGTTGAGTGGCTTGTGCAGTCCTCTGCCTGGACCGCGTAGGTATTTCCCGACTGCATTCAGGCCCATCCCTGCTGGCAGTTAAGACCCCTGTCAGCTCTCTGGGACTCCTCCAGCCCATCAGACATCAGACCAGAATGGAAAGCAGCCCTCGCCCTTGCGCTCATGCTTTCATGAGATGGGGTCCCACCGGCTGCAGACACAGCTGTCCCCAGGACTCGGTCCTTGTCTGCCTCCTGCAGCTTGTCTCTTCTGCCGCCTCCTTGACCCAAATCCACATGCCAGCAGCACCCACCGTTCCAAGTTCTGTCCTTTGACCCAGACCCTGCCCTCCCTCTTCCCTCAGCTTTGTCTGATTCAGGCATGTTCTCCAGGCAGCTTCCCCCTCCCTAAAGCCCCCCGCCCTGCCCCCACCATCTGGCTGCAGGCCCTCCCCAGCAGCCCTGCATTTCCTGGTATATCTCCGTCCTTGTCCTTCCTCAGCAGCAGAGCATCTGACAGGGAATGAGAATCAGTCAGCATTGAAGCAATGAGTGGATGGATGAGGGAGTAAGGTACCATCGGTGTCCCTGCCTGCAGCAATAATGCATGGTGGCATCTGTCCTGTTGCTGTGCCAGGGTATTGCAGAAGCTTCATAATTCCGGAGGAACAATGTCACACTTTGTAGACGTGCCACACGTAGCTTGGCCCAGTGAATCCAGTCGTTAGCATAGCCAGCTGTCTCCTGTAATGGAATGGGAACACTGGAGGAGGCACTTCCTTTTGGCTGCCTCAGCTGCACTTTCTGCCTCACTTCTTGGATCATGGCATCTCACACCTGAGGACTGAGTCCCTGTCCCCCATTTGCTGATGACACCAGCACCTCTGAGCACCCCAGGGCCGCCCTTCCTGCTGTCCCATCTGTTTCTGAGCATCTTAAAATCACCTTGGAAGGAAAAGTCCTCATGGAAACCCCCCTTGTGCCTTACAGACAAAGAAGTATGCTGACGTGATCATCCCGCGAGGAGTGGACAATATGGGTAAGAAGCTGGCCTGCTGGGCTGTCCCCCCGCCCCTCCTAGAGCTTCAGACAGGGACAGTTCCACCAGCATGCAGTTACTGAGCACTCCCCTGTGTGCTGGAGGCCTGCCACTGTTGATCTGCAGCACAAGGTTAAAATATGCTTAAAAATGTATGTAGGCCGGGTGCGGTGGCTCACGCCTGTAATCCCAGCACTTTGGGAGACTGAGGCGGGTGGATCACGAGGTCAGGAGATCGAGACCATCCTGGCTAACACGGTGAAACCCAGTCTCTACTAAAAAAGACAAAAAAATTAGCCAGGTGTGGTGGCGGGCGCCTGTAGTCCTGGCTACTCAGGAGGCTGAGGCAGGAGAATGGCGTGAACCCGGGAGGCGGAGCTCGCAGTGAGCCGAGATCGTGCCACTGCACTCCAGCCTGGGCGACAGAGCGAGACTCTGTCTCAAAAAAAAAAAAAAAATAATAATAATAAAAATGTATGTAGCTGGGTGCAGTGCCTCACACCAGTAATCCCAGCACTTTGGGAGGCCGAGGCGGGGAAATCACTTGAGCCCGGGAGTTCAACAGCCTGGGGAACATAGCAAGACCCCATCAAAAAATAAGAAAATTAGTTGGGCATGGTGGCATGCGCCTCTGGTCCCAGCCTTTTGGGAGGCTGAGGTGGGAGGATTGCTTGAGCCTGGCAGGTTGAGGCTGCAGTGAGCTATGATTGGGCCACTGCACTCCAGCCTGGGCAGTAAAGTAAGACCCTGTTTCTGAAAACGTACATATATATATTCAAACCTGTTAGCAGAAAGTATTTTAAGCAACTCTAACATAAATTCCTGAAAGACTAAGCTAAGAAGTCTTATTTTGCTGTGTCCTGATGTGTGTTTCTGTCTGCTGAGATTTGACCCGATGCCCAGCTCACGCAGGCCTGTGCCTCAGGGCAGAGGTTGGGTGCCCACTCCTGGCTGAGTGCTGCAGGGAGGGGCAGTCTCCATGGGGGATGGACGTGGCTGACCTGCTGCTTGTCTGTCTCTTGGCGCAGTTGCCATCAACCTGATCGTGCAGCACATCCAGGACATTCTGAACGGTGACATCTGCAAATGGCACCGAGGAGGGTCCAATGGGCGGAGCTACAAGAGGACCTTTTCCGAGCCAGGGGACCACCCTGGGATGCTGACCTCTGGCAAACGGTCACACTTGGAGTCCAGCAGCAGACCCCACTGAGGGGCTGCCAAGCCTTGGGGTAGGTCTCCCGCCTGGCATGTGTGTTCAGGGACTGAGCCTGGGGACGCCCACCCACACCCACTGCTTCCTTTTGGCACACCCCAGGGGGGTGTTAGCAGCGAGGCCTTCCTCACTCAGGAGTGGAAACTCAGATGTGTCACTCAGACTCAACTTGCTGGGACACTGACAGGCGTTCCTGAGGATTTCAGCCACGTCCTCAGGCTCACTGCGGTTTAAAGATCTCTCTAGGTCACTGAGAAATGCCAGAGTGTGCAGGAAGCCTAGGACGCTTCCGTGAGGATTGAGGCACATATTATTGGGGAAAGTGAGGAGACAGCCTGGACACTGGGGCTGGCTGGTGTTTTTGTTGACAGTGAACCCACAGGGGCAGAGTTTTTTCCAGTCTGATCTGGTTCTTACACACTCACACACGTAACTCAAAAGTTTTGTGAACAAGTACTTTCCTTTTTTACATGTTACATGTCCTCATGTTTTCTGTTCTGTTCTGTTGCATAACACAAGGCTGCTTGTGGCCTACAAACCTCATTCATGACCCAGTGGTTCACAGTCCAGCGTGGCCTACACGGATGTGGGGAGCCGCCGAGGGATGTTTTCCTTCCTTGCTTGTGCCTTAAAGGCAGAGAAGCGAGGCGGGCGCCCCGGGAGCGCCCAGCATCACACCCAGGCTCATGTGGGGCCAGGCCAGGAGCCCATGCAGCACGCAGGAGGCAGCAGAGGCCAGTTCTGTCCCGGCTGAAAAACAGGGTCCATGCACAGTCCTGCCTGGGGTCGGGCCCTTGCTGACCCTCACGGGAGTCCCCAAGGTGCTGTCTGGACAGGCTGTCCCACGCCGGGGTGGCTGGTGGCCATGTGCAGGGAATGGTGCCTCTGGCTGTGGCACCTGGATCACCCAGGTCCCAGCAGACATGGCCGCCTGAAGTCAGTGTGCCTCCTCTGTGCTGTATGGAGCTCGCGGCCTCATGTGTGAACACGCATGTCTGGGTTGCCTGGGTTGATCCTCCCGCATGGGGCTGTCTCTGGGAAGCACAGCTTGCTGCTGCCACGGACAGCCCCAGCCCCCGTCCGTCCAGGCTCACCCACAGCAGTGACGCAGACATGGCGTGGGTGAAGGGAGCTGAGCTCTGTGGCTGGGTTCTGACAACAGTAACGGTTGGGTCGAGCTTAGGCCCCTTTGGAGGAAGAATCAATAAATAACACCAACTACAAATGCCAGTTTGTCCCTTTTTAAATTATATTTAAAAAGACAAAGTAAAGGCAAGGAGCTGTATGGATGACACACAGCTTGACCGCTGATGAAGATTTCACTCAGCCCCGTCTCGGCAGTCTCAGGAGGGTTTCCACACAGTATGGTGCGGAGGGCCGGTCTTGATGCTGTCACAGAGAATGACTGGCAAGCCCCAGCCCCAGCTCACTGTTCAGGCGGCCCTCCCACACAGCTGTCCCGGGACGCCTGCCGGGCTCACTCAGGGCAGGGCTGGGACTTGCTCAGGTTGCTGGGTGTTCACGAAGGAGGATCAGGTCTGCCAGATCAAACTCCACCCTGCAGCGGTCAGCAAGGACCAGGCCCCGGTCTGCTGAGGCCACTTGCTCCACTGCTGGCCTTGGGTTCTCGGCTTTTCTTCATCGATGACTCCTACACTGGCCGCTGAAATACTCCCTGTGTCTTAGCTCAGGGGTGAAGACACGGAGGGAACATCTTCATTGTTGAGAAAAAATGAACTTTGCACAAAAGGAGGTACTCACCAGAGGGCTTTTCAAGAATGAGACCCCCACGCGTTCCAGTAGAGGCCCTGCTGAGCCCGGCCCGTGTCCTCCCAGCGTGGGGCCCACCCTGCTTGTTAAGTACACTGACCAAGACCTTCGACCTTGTCCTGACCCCAGCTCGGGTGTTCTTTGCCACGCTCTTGTTCTAGTGTTTTCGGATCAAGATGTCCCAGCTGTCTTTCTAGCGAAGCGCACTCTTGTTCTAGTGTTTTCGGATCAAGATGTCCCAGCTGTCTTTCCAGCGAAGGGCCTTGAGTTCATGTGGCGAGAGTGACTTGTCCCCATAGGTAAGTGGGCGCAGCGTGTTGGACACGTGGCATGCGGAGGAGTACCAGGCCACCACCAGGGCACTGAAGACGCTCCTCTGGAGCTGGGACCTGCAGAGGTCAGAGCAACGTTGGGGAGGATGGCTCGCCACTACGGCTTCCCTGTCCAGCAGCCTCTTGGCATCTGCTGTCCCCACGGTCGCCCCCTGAGGCCTGGGGTTCTGCCTTCAGGTTTCTGTGTCTTGTCTCCCACCACCCGTGACCATCTCCTGCTTGGATGCACAGAAAGGGGACCCCCTGTCGACTCAGGTCTCCACAGTGGCTGGGCCACCTCCACACAGATGCCAGAGGACTGGTCCCAAACCCACAGTCCTTCTTTGTGTGGCTTCCTGAGACCTGGAGGCCCTTGCCCTCCAACCTCCAAACACACTCCAGTTTAGAAGTTTTCTTGGGTTCTCTCTACCACACCACACAACCCGGCCATAACCAGCTGCTGTTCCTGCCACCCTGAGGCTCCTGGGCCTTGCTCCCTGCTCCCGAATCCTCCAGGCCACCCACATCTCTGCATCCCTTCCCCATCTTACTACCCACTCTGCTTTCATCTCTGTCAACCGTGACTTCTCCCTCTGGGTTCCTGCAGTGCCTCATCTGGGCATCTCTTCTGAACCTCCCCCATTCCCGGAGGGGCCAGGAGGATGTCAGTGTAACGTGAAATGGGTGGGGTTCGCTGCACCCCCTGTGTTTGCTGCACATGGGCTGTCCAGCAGAGGGCTGCTGCCTGGTCCAGCCACTGTCTCTGTGGCCCCCGTACCTGCACAGGTGGTCGCTGATGTGCTGCAGGACGACAGGGAGCAGAAGGATCTGGAAGGTGAGTGCGGGCAGGTAGTGGTAGAGGAAGAGTGTCTTTTCCATCAGGAAGAACGGGAGGTAGTTCACTGCCCAGCCACCAGCACACAGCGCGCCAGCCAACACCCAGCGCAGCCAGGCATCTACAGGAAAGGGTTTGAGCTACACCGGCTCTGCTGCTCCCACAGGCGGATTTTCTCTCTCTCTTTTGCTTTTTTAGAGACAGGGGTCTTACTATGTTGCTGAAGCTGGTTTTGAACTCCTGGCCTCAAGTGATTCCTTCACTTTGGCCTCCCAAAGTGCTGGGATGACAAGTGTGAGCCACTGCGCCCGGCCTGGCTGCCTGTGTTATCCAGCCATTTCCAGCGCATATGGGCAACATGGGACCAAGGAGGCAACTCTTGGCCAATATGCTGCACTCAAATGGAGGTGCCTCTAACGCAACATGGGAACTTAACATTTTGTCTCTTGAGAGACAAACATAATTTAAGATCCCGCAATACAGAAACAAAGAGGCTGCCTTAAGGGGTAGGTTCCTATGAAGGCGGTTTGTCACCTGAGGTGGTGAACGCTCAGCAGGAAGAGGAGGAACAGACATAAAAATGAGCTGTGGGCTGGGTGCAGTGGTGCACACCTGTAATCCCAGCACTGTGGGAGGCCGAGGCAGGAGGACAGCTTGAGCCCAGGAGTTCAAGACCAACCTGGACAACACAGCAAGACCCCATCTCTATATTAAAAGGAAAAAAGCCATGTAGGAGGTATACTAACCCTGAGGGAGGTCATGGACGTTTCTTCGCCGTCGCAGCAGGTACCACGAGGACAGCAGGGCGTAGATGGCCAGGGCGAGGCTGCCCGAAATCCAGATCACTATGTTTCCAAGTAGGTGGATCTGAGCCTAAAGGAACATGGAAGATGCTGTTAGCTCCCTGCCCTCTGTTCAGGGAGGGAAGAGAACACAGAAAAGGAATTCAGATGCATGCGCTACTTCAGCAGAGTGAAAAAACGCCAGGCACAGCCTAGAGTCCACTAGGCCTTACCACTGCTGTGGACAGGTCTGCGCCTACTCAGACCTTTCATTAAAAGCACTGGTGCCAGCCGGGCGCAGTGGCGCACACCTGTAATCCCAGCACTTTGGGAGGCTGAGGTGGACGGATCACCTGAGGTCAGGAGTTTGAGACCAGCCTGCCCAACACGGTGAAATCCTGTCTCTACTAAAAATACAAAAATTGGCTGGGCATTGTGGTGGGCACCTGTAATCCCATTTACTTGGAGGATGAGGTAGGAGAATTGCAGAATTGCTTGAACGTGGGATGTGGAGGTTGCAGTGAGTCGAGATCACACCACTGCACTCCAGCCTGGGCAACAGAGCAAGACTCCATCACAAAAAGAAAAAAAAAGCACTGATGCTCTCAGTTTTGTAACTGGAAACTGAAGACCGGGAGCAGATGGCTCCGCTTTGTAACAGCAGCACTGTCCGCAGAGGAGAATGCAAAGTGCGCTCGGAGCTCAGGGTGGGGCAGCCTCTGGGCCTGCGCCTCTGCCTTTGGTGCACGTGCTGAGTCGACCTACCTGCCTCTGAGAGAGGAGGAAAAAGGTGGGCATTGCCAGCGTCTGCCCATCCAGTGAATATGTATGGGGCACTGACTGTGCCCAGCCTACAAATGCTTTCACTCTGCCGGGTGGAGAGAGATGGCATGCACATCAACGAGCACCGGTAAGCTCCACCACCAGGTGCCACCCAGAAAATCAAATGGGAACGTCTTAAAACCACTTCCGCCAGGAAAAGGGGAACAACGTGTCTCCACAAAAGCAATCAAGCCACGTTTCCTTCAGCAGGCACACATGCCACGCCCCTACTCCTGGCTCCAGGCTGCCAAAGTGTTTACAGAAAAGCAAGTCACAGGCCTTTGTCAGGAAAAGCTTTGGAGAAACCCAGCACTTTCTAGGGTACAGTGGCTGCTCTTAATGCCAGAAGGAATTCTCAAGAAACAGGATGAATCCATGACTGTCAGCACTGCTCGCTTACGCTGGTCCTGGGGTGCAGCCAGTAGGCGATATTGGTGTCCAGGGTGACCCACTCCAGCGGGCTGGAGCTGTACTTGTGTTCCGAGTCATCGCTTCTCAGCGCCAGCATCCTCCACTGGAACAAAGCAGAGGCCTCTGAGAGTGAGGATGGGGGATGCCTCCCACTGTGCGTGGATTTGGTCAAAGGAGTACACTGCTGCCCCTGGCACACAGACTGTCCCACCTCAAGTTCATTCGGATCACGCGTCAGAGGCAGCATGATCAGAACCTGGATTCTAGCCCCGGCTGTGGCCTTGGGAGTGCCGCCCCACCTCCTCTGTAGACTAAGTGACCAGGCCGAATGCTCTCTGAGGTCACATTCAGATTTGTGACCCTGAGTTTCTGACTGTGACTTCTCTTGGGCTCTGTTGAGTGTGGCCCATTTTGCTGCCTGGGGGCCTTAGGACACCCTAGCGATGTTGCAGAACCTCCTGGGTCCCTATATTATTCCTGACCACAGGGCCACAAGGTGTGGGCCAGGGTGTCACACACAGTCCCTTACACCGGAGAGAGGAGACACTCATTCTGTGGTGAGCCTGTGGTTCCAGCGTCAAAGCCTGACCTGGTTTGAGACCTGTGTAGCCCCCAGGCCTCCCAGCTGAGGAGTCAGTGCTCAGTGAGCTAGGCTGGCTTCCCTTGGCCGCTCCTCACCTGCAGCTCCAAGAATCTCGCCATGAAGCTGAGGTTCCTGCTGACGTCCACCTGCGCAGGTGAGTGCAGCTCCCGTTCCCGCTCCCTCTGCTCCTGGCCTGGCAGAACAGACAAGGGCATAACAGATAGAAGTAGCACAAGGTCAAGAGCTCAGAGCAGAAGCTGTCAGTGCAGCAAAAAGCTGGCTTCCTGCCTTTCCAACAAGCCACAAAGACCCCTCATCGAACCGCATCATTCCACTTAGCTTTCCCCACACACTCAAGACTACCCGGTCAAATGAGGCGATTTCGACCAAGAAGGCTCCACTTGCACAGGGATAAACTGGCTGCCTTCCAGCGATACCTCGGAAGAAGCGTCTTGAGTTGTTACCACAGCAGCTGGGTGCAGGGAGGGAGATGACCTGCCACCGAGCATGGAGAATGTGCTCAGTTCCCTTCCCACCAAAATGAGAACTGTTTGGGATGTTACGAAAATACCGAGCAGCTCAAAGCGCATTCCCAGTGGCGGAAGCCACGCCGCGGACTCACTCGCGCCGTATCGGTGCTCCTCCACGTTCCACACCATGCTCTCGTGGTAGCCCCGGGACAGCTTCTCCCCGACGATCTCCAGCTGCCGATACCCCCAGTCAGGGAGGTGAGCCCCGCTCAGCTGGTGACACCGCGGGAGAGAAAAGGGCGTGATGGGAAGGCTGTGGCTCCCACATCCACTCAGGTTGGAAGGGGAACCCCTGCCCGGGTCACGCTGTCAGCAGGTGCCCCTTGTGGGAGCTTCACTTTAGGATTCCATCCCGAGAAGTTATAAAAGCCGCCCTCCCTCAGTGTAAAGGGAGGCCACGATGACGCGAATCAAGCGTTCGGCCTGCAGAGAGGCGGTGGAGCCTGAGGGGCTCGGGGAACAGACTGGAGCCTGCAGCTCAGGACAGGCCAAGCCAAGGACAGTGTCCTTACCTTTAAGACTGCAGAAGTGTTCACGTGCACAAAGCGGACCTCTGAGAGGATGGTCTTCCAGACGTCTGTGTCGGATCCTCTGTTCACAATTTCCTGCAAAAAGAGATCTCAAGGATTATTTCATTCCTTTTCAAATTTCCTTCAATGTGAAAATGAAGACCTATCACCAAACAATGATACTGACTTGAGCCTGAGATAAAGAGACAAGCCCCCAAAGTGAGGGGAGCTACAAGGGGCTGGTGCTGGTCTTCCTTCCCAATGCCCATAGCACCCTGGGCTGCTCCGAGGGTCGCTGGGGAAGCGCGCCTTCCTCCTCGCCAAGGCTGTACAAGATGCCTCCTCACAGAAAATACAAAGCCTAATGTTCTTCGTGCCTCTCTGCAAAGCCTATTCATGGAGATGGCTCAGAGCCCTGTCCAAAAAGTGAGCAAGTCTCAGTCCTTATCTGGCAGAACTCGCAGACGGCTCAAATGAAGGCCAGACACTGTCCCTGGGAGACACAGCTTAGAGATTTCCTTGCATCAAGTAATAAAAAAGACAACTAACATCTGAAAGGCTCTTTGCCTCATCACAGCCTAACATACCGGAGCCTTACAATGACCCCATGATGTCACATGGCTGTCATTTTCCCATTTTATTGTTACAACCAAAAGGAAAAATGATTATTCTCAATGGCAGTTTCAAACATTCCGTGTGAGGGAGAGCTCCATGTGAGGGAGTGCTCCATGTGAGGGAGTATTCCGTGTTAGAGGAAGTGTTCTGTGTGAAGAAGTGTTCTGTGTTAGAGGAAGTGTTCCGTGTGAGGAAGCGCTCTGGGTGAGGAAGTGCCCCGCGTGAGGGAGCATTCCGTGTGAGGAAGTGTTCTGTGTTAGAGAAAGCGCTCCTTGTGAGGAAGTGTTCTGTGTTAGAGGAAGTGTTCTGTGTTAGAGGAAGCGACGCTCCTTGTGAGAAGTGCTCTGTGTGAGGAAGTGTTCTGGTAGAGGAAATTCGTATGAGGAAGTGTTCCATGTTAGAGGAAGTGTTCCGTGTGAGGAAGTGTTCTGTTAGAGGAAGTGTTCCGTGTGAGGAAGTGTTCCGTGTTAGCTGTGTTAAGAGGAAGTGCTCCGTGTGAGCGCTCTTGAGAAGTATTCGTGTGAGGAAGTGTCCACAATGATGAAGACGTTCTGCCTGTTAGAGGAAACGTTCTGTATTCAGGAAATGTTCTACCTGTGTTAGAGGAAAGCGCTCCTTGTGAGGAAGTGCTCCATGTGAGGAAGTGTTCTGTGTTAGAGGAAAGCGCTCCTTAGCGGGAAGTGCTCTGTGTGAGGAAATTAATTCACCCAATACCTTTAGAGAGCGCTCTGTGTTAGAGGAAGCGCTCGTGTGAGAAGCGTTCCGTGTGAGGAAGCCCGTGTGAGGCCTCTCACTTGTGAGGAAGTATTCTGTGTTGGGAAGTGTTCGTGTGAGGGAAGTGTTCCGTGTGAGGAAGTGTTCTGTGTTAGAGGAAGCGTTCCGTGTGTGAGGAGAGCGCTCCGTGTGAGAAAGAAAGCGCTCCGTGTGAGCGTTCGTGTGAGCGTTCGTGTGAGAAGCGTTCGTGTTAAACTCGTGTGAGGAAGCGTTCGTCGAGGAAGCCTCCATGTGAGGAAGTGTTCCGTGTGAGAAGTGTTCCGTGTTGGGGAAGTGTTCCGTGTGAGAGATTGTTCTGTTGAGGAAGCGCTCCGTGTGAGGAAGCGTTCCGTGTGAGGAAGCGCTCCATGTGAGGAAGTGTTCCGTGTGAGGAAGTGTTCCGTGTTAGGGGAAGTGTTCCGTGTGAGGAAGTGTTCTGTGTTAGAGGAAGTGTTCCGTGTGAGGAAGTGCTCCAGGTGAGGAAATGCTGTGTCAGGAAGTGCTCCGGGTGAGGAGGTGCTTCTTGTGAGGGAGTGTTCATTACTGATGGCTGTGGTTGCTCTAGCCGCAGCCTTACTCACCAGTCTCCAGAGGTTCTGGGCAGGCATGGAGATATTATAGTCAATGTAGCAGGAGACCTCCTGTGAATGGGGACTCAGAGGGGCTGCAACATCATGCCTAGAAAACCGAGACTGAGATTTCAGAAGGAATTCCTTGAACTCCTCTGGAAAGCACTTACTAAATCTGTCAGGGGGGAAAAGGTTGCTTTTCAGAAACAAAGCCAACTCAGCCATAAGGGGTGGTCTGGTCCCACGAGTCGCTGCGACTGAGGACGGAGATCTTGAGGCTCAGCAATGGGAGTGGACGCTAAACAGGCAGGAGGCCCTGCGGGAACATTTCCAGGGGAAAAGGACACTCTGCTGTGGAACATTCCACCTGTTAGACGAGCAAACCAAGTTTCGGAGGAAGGAACCGCATGCCTGGGCCCCTGACCCGGTACTGCTGCGATGCCAGCTGGCAGTACCAATGCTACAACTTGCAGGGTTGAGCTGCCCGCTCCTGCGTCCAGCTGGCCTGGGGACGCAGCAGTTATGCCGGGAGAAAAGGCCATCAACCTTAATGTTCATGAACACCCACTTCTTTTTTTTTTTTGAGACGGAATCTCACTCTGTCACCCTGGCTGGAGTGCAAATGGCGTGATCTCGGCTCACTGCAACCTCTGCCTCCTGAGTTCAAGTGATTCTCCTGCCTCAGCCTCCTGACTAGCTGGGATTACAGGCATGTGCCGCCATGGCCGGCTAATTTTTGTATTTTTAGTAGAGACGGGGTTTCACCATGTTGGCCCAGCTGGTCTCCAACTCCTGACCTCAAATGATCTGCCTGCCTGGGCCTCCCAAAGTGCTGGGATTACAGGCGTGAGCCACCGTGCCCAGCCAGGAGCACCTACTTCCTTTAATCAGTAACCATGTTGTACCGCACCATGCACCTGGCACTGTCTAGGAGCAGCCACTCTGCTGTGAACAAGATGCGGCCCTCACAGCCATCTGGGAAACAGCCATCATGCTGGTAGGCAGAGCATGCAGCTGTGAGAGTGCCACTAATAAAACAAATGGTGGGGGACAGGACCCAAGAGGCACTTTTTGATATGGTGACATCCCGGCAGACCCCTACATAGAGTGGGCCATGGGGGAGCCAAGTCCAAGAACATTCCCGCAGAGGGAGCAAGTGTGAAGGCCCTAAGGGGCCTCCAGGTGGTCGTTTCAGGGCTGGGAGGGAGCCAGGGTGGTGGGGGCGAAGCGTGTCAGGGTCACCAGGGGCCTCAGTGGGAGAACTGAGCATGACGGGAGTCACTGAGCACAGAGCGGGCTGCTGTAAGGTGGAGAGGTCAGGTCCCAGGAGGTGGGAGTGGAGGGAGAAGTAAGGACCCCTACCTAGGGCTGGTTCTGAAGTTTGAGAAACAGGGTCTCCCAATGGAATCAACATGCGATGGGAGAGGAGGGGAAGGAGCCAGGTGATGCCTCAGCTACTGGGCCCTTTCCAGGGAGAACCAGAAGAGCCAGGGCCAGTGACTGTCCCCGTGGAGGTGGAAGTCGTGGAGAGCCTGAGGTGAGTCCCGGGCAGCCGGGTGGAAGTCCAGGAGAGGCAGCCCCGGGACTGGGCCTGTGCAGAGGCGGCAAGGCCAGAGGCTCTCGGAGACTGAGAGCAACAGAGGAAGAGGAGGCGGTGGAGAGAGCAGTCGGGGAGGGAGGAGGAGGGTATGATCAACTGTGCCCAGCGCCACGGGAAGGCAAGTCGGACAAGGACGAAGGACTAGGAGGGAAGAAGCCTTCACGGCTCCACTCATGCCCCAACTTCCAGGCTTCTTGGACTCACTCATACTTTAAGCTTTACCACTTTATGGAGGTGCGCCCCAACTCCATTCTCTGTGTAGAAAGCGGCTCAGCATTCCCAGCCTGTCCTTGTACACTCATCCACTGGGCTCCGAGCTCTCCCAGGATGGGCTGTGCTAAGTGCTTCTGTCCAGTCCTCACAGAGTCTCTGCTTCCTCTTAACCCCTCCCTTCCGCGGCCAGGCCTGGGTCCCCTCCCAGCAACAAATGTAGATCTAAGAGCTGCTACACGTGCAGATAAGGGGGAGACACGGAGCAGTGGCCCGAGCCAGGGCTGACGTTTTGGTCTAACACAGAACCACAGAGGAAACCCACGGGTGCCGCAGAGCAGACGGCGGGCACACTCACGTGTTCAGGGAGCGGGTGGTCATGCCGTGGACCAGCTGCACCATGTCCCCGTGCCGCACGGGTCTCGGAGGGCTGCTCACCACCAGCTGGTGCCTGGAAGACAGTGCTGTTCGGACCACGCACAGCCTGGTCCCCCGGAACTAACAGCTGCACCGGAGGGACACGAGCTCTGAATTCTCATGGCTGAGACTGCCTCCCAACCCATGTGTGCCTCACATGAGGTGAACACAGGAAACCAAAGCACAGACATTCATTGAGCTCTTTTCTGAAACCAAAGGTCGCTTTCCAAATGTGATTCCACCCGCAGTCATCACACCTGCATTGCTCTGAGTTTGTCTACAAACACTACAATGACAAATGTACCATGACTGCCAGGGAATCCTGCCGAGGGGCATTCCACCAACCAACGTGCATGAGGGGCCCGGGCGCCGAGGCTCACGCCTGGAATCCCAGCACTTAGGGAGGCTGAGCTGGGTGGACCACTTCAGGTCAGGAGTTCAAGACCAGCCTGGCCAACATGGTGAAAGCCCATCTCTACTAAAACTACGAAAATTACCAGGGCGTGGTGACACCAGTCTATAATCTTATCTACTCGGGAGGCTGAGGCAGGAGAATCACTTGAACCTGGGAGGTGGAGGTTGCAGTGAGCGGAGATGGTACCACTGCACTCCAGCCTGGGTGACAGAGTGGGACTCTGTCCCCCCACAAAAAAAGAAGAAAAAAAAAAAGCCCACTCAGGCTGCAGGTGCTGGAGTTGGGCAGGCAGCAATGGGAGGACACCATCGGGAGACGGTGACCGAGAGGGCTAGAGACCTGGTTTGGGGGCAGAATCCACAGGATTGGATGTGGGGGTGAGAGCGAGGGGCGCCTCTAGCTGGCGTATGTGCAGGATGATGCTACTTTTGCAGGAGGGGGGTTCTTGGTTTTATGAGGAAGGGAGAGGGACACAGGTTGGGGCACTGGGGCTCACCTGGAAACTCCTCAGAGCAGCTACTGAGCAGGCTGCTTACTGAGGATCTCATGACCTCCTCCCCGACCTCAGACTTAGCACTGAGCTGGCGTTCAAGGCCGTGACGGTGACTAGAGTCAGGGAGGGAGGGAAAGAAGGGGGCCTAGGACTGTGTCCCAGGGTCTCGCCTGGACAGGCCAGGAGGTGAGCTCTGCTCTGGAGTCGCAGGACCTGCACTCACCTCCCGGGATCCTTTACAATCCACCAGTTATTGACATCTTTGAAGGGGTAACAGGTCACCTGCTGCTGGTGGGAGCTGCCTCGGCCGTTCTCGTATCTGTGTGAAGTCAACAAAGAGATGTATCTGGGCCAGGTGCGGTGGCTCACGCCTGTAACCAGAGCACTTTGGGAGGCTGAGGTAGGATAACTGCTTGAGCCCAGGAGTTTGAGACCAGCCAGGGCAACAGAGTGAGATCCCGTCTCTATTTGTGAAAAAAAGAAAAGAAAGGGAAAGAAACGTATCTGGAAGTGGGTCGTGGATCGGGCCCACACGCCTTTCTCCTCAAGTTTCTGCAAAGGGAAGCAGATTTCAACAAATACGACCTAGCAAGGGGTTTCAGGGAAAATGAAGATACCACAGATAAGGAGCCGATTCAGACAATTTAGGCAGGCAGTGCTGAGGTCAGCCACAGCCACAGAGCTGGGGCCGACCCTGGGCCCCACCACACGCCAAGTCCCTCCAGCAACACCCGGGAACCACGAAGCTCACTGGCAATCAGCACCCGGGCTGCTCAACTTCCTTCTGTCCTGCAAACAAACTTCCTCAAAGAAAGAGAAAGTTGCTAAGATAAGCAAATCTATAAGCAAATAAAGCGTTTAATCATCTTCAAAGTAAAACCATCACTTTCCTTACATCATGGGGTAGGTGTCCTGGTGGGAATGCAGCCAGCAGGGCACAGGTTTCCCAAAGACGTTCCTCAGAGTGACCTGGGACCCGAAGGCCACCTCCAGCGGCTGACCCTGGGTGATCCGAGCTAGTCCTCCCTGAGACAGAAGCAGAAGGTTGATGAGTGAGAGACAGAAAGAAAAATGCTCCTTAGCCAGCCTTCCCGATGGCCACTCCTCCCTCTGGAGTGATGTTCAGGCTAGTGGCCATTCTTGGAATACTCATAATGATCTACCATTTAATCATGTCACATTACATCATAGAACTATAATGAACACTAAGTTTGATCAAATGCTGCCTCTGGGCCACTGAGTTCAGCCTTCCACGCGCACCCTATTCAGTCCGTACCAGCATCCTATGAGGCAAGAGCAATGATGATGTCTGCCTAAGAGATGAGAAAACCAAGACTGGGGTGAGCCAAACAACTTGCTGAAACACACAGCACTATAGCACTGGCCGTCCGCAGGCTTGGTTGACTTCGGGAACCACGGTCCTGACCGCCTCTACTGATACCTTCACCTTCTACCACTGCTGCGAGGTTCATAGGAATGAAGGTCACAGTTGAGTGTGGTCCTTAAGGCGGGTGAAACTGTCTAGGGTTTGTAGGACTTGACTTTAAAATGCTCCCAGCTGCCGAGCATGGTGGCTCACTCCTGTAATCACAGCACTTTGAGAGGCTGAGGCGGGTGGATCACTTGAGGTCAGGAGTTCCAGACCAGCCTGGCTAACTAACATGGTGAAACCCTGTCTCTACTAACAAAACTAAAAAATTAACCGGTTGCAGGTGCTTGTAATCCCAGCTACTTGGGAGGCTGAGGTAGGAGAATCGCTTGAACTCAGGAGGCGGAATATGGGTGACAGAGTAAGACACCATCCCCCGCTGCCAAAAAAAGAAATATGGATGTGGATACCTCATTTCTTGATTCAAGGGCTAATGTTCACTTGATGTGTTTCTAAGAAAACTCTGGGTCCACTATCATCTTGCTCCTCCAGCAGCCACGATGCCCACTGCTTACTTACCTCTAAGCTGGCCTGGAAGGCACTGGACATGATTTGGTCGTGGGGCCCAGAGCGGAAGAGCAGAATCAAGTGGACGTAGAAGAACAGTAAGTACAGGACGACCGGGATGACCAGCAAAGCCACTGCTCGGGCTAGCAAGTGACAGAACACACAGACCTGCCAGAGATTCAAAGAAAAGTCATGCCCTACGACGTGGAAAAGTGCACCCACTTCTCTGAACATTATGAGCTTAGAAAAAGTTAGTGAAAGAAACTCTGGCCTCCCATACAGAGGCACGTGCAGAGGCTGACAGGCGAGGCTACCCAGGCCTGCCTGCTTCTGAAACATTGAGGATTTGAGTCTTTTCACCAAGCACCCCCTGTGACATCCCCATCTGCCCCACACAGGCCTGCCTCATGCAGCACTGGACATGAGCACCTACATTGGACAAAGTCTGGTCTCCAATCAGGTGCCAGGCATGGACAGCTGCAACTGCCAGCATGAGCACGTATGTGAACACACCCATGTACTTGATGCTGCAAAGACATGACAGGAATGGAGTTAACATGAGACAGGAAAACACGAGAAGGAGGAGGAGGAGGACACTGCCCAAGGCCAGAGGCTTGAACTCACCCCACTGCGCAGGAACAAGCAACCCCTGTCAGTGTTAGCCAGAACCACCAGCTCAGAGAAAAAGGGCTGGAATACAAACAGAGCAGATGGAGACAGGAATAGTTCAGACACATTTCCAAAAGGCTAGAGAAGCTCCACATTCCTCAGAGAAATCTTTCTGGGTCAGCTGGCCATGCTGAGCCCCGGGTGCAATAAGAAAGAATTCCCATTTCCCAAAGTATCCGGCCCAGCAGAATTTTTCTTTTTGCCCAGAAAATTTTGCCCTGTTAGTTTATAAATTACAGAAAAAATGAAGATGCATTTATGAAGTCACAAGCCAAGGGCCAACCCCCAAAATACTGGAGGACCAAAACATATCTAGCACTAGGCGCAGAAGCTCACACCTGTAATCACAGCACTTTAGGAGGCCAAGATGGTGGATCACCTGAGGTCAAGAGTTCGAGACCAGCCTGGCCAATATGGTGAAACTCCGTCTCTACTAAAAATACTAAAATTAGCCAGACACGGTGCTGTGTGCCTGTAATCTCAGCTACTTGGGAGACTGAGACTGGAGAATTGCTTGAACCTGGGAAGCGGAGGTTGCAGTGAGCCGAGATTGCGCCATTACATTCCAGCCTGGGTGACAGGGACTCTGTCTCAAAAATAAAAAAATAAAAAAGATATTTAGGGGGACAGGGACTCCGTCTCAAAAAAAAGATATTTAGCAAGCAACTCCTCAAAATGAAAAGGTACCGTCTCACAAAACAAAACAAAACAAAAAAAGGTACTGAACCATCTCAGGTCAACAAACCACCCAGAATCTCCGTTTTTGTTAATTAGGAAGACACTCCATTTTCCATACCTGTGCTTTTGGCAATTGAAGAACTTCAGGTAGGACAACACGGCCAATAGATTAAAAAATATTAACACTGATTCCAAAAGCATTAGCCTTGACTGAGTGATGAGAGCATTCTCTGTTTCAAAGAGGAAATACGTGTCAATTTTAAGGTAGAGCAAGTGAAAATGGGTGAGGATAAACACATTCATGGAAAAACGCATACTTCAGAAGCGATACAAGTGTGTGGGGCTGTTGTGAATGTTAACACATTCTATAGCACAGGGCCTCTTACAGGCATCACCCGATACCCATCTTTTTCATTTTCTACTGTCTCTGTTTTTTCTTGAGTCAGGGTCTTGCTCTGTTGCCCAGGCTGGAGTGCAGTGGCACCATCATGGCTCACTGCAGCTTTGACCACCAGGGCTCAAGGGATCCTCCTGCCTCAGGCTCCTGAGTAGCTGGGACAAAAGGTGCGCGCCATCACGCCCAGCTAAATTTTGTATTTTTAGTAGAGACAGGGTTTCGCCATGCTGGCCAGGATGGTCTCGATCTCTTGACCTTGTGATCCACCCGCCTTGGCCTCCCAAAGTGCTAGGATTACAGGCTCACATGAGCCACCATGACCGGCTTATTTTTTTTGAGATAGAGTCGTACTCTGTCACCCAGGCTGGAGTGCAGTGGCGCAGTCTTGGCTCACTGCAACCTCCACCCCCCGGGTTCAAGCAATTCTCCTGCATCAGCCTCCCAAGTAGCTGGGATTACAGGCACCTACCACCACACCGGCTAATTTTTTGTATTTTTCGTATTTTTAGACGGGGTTTCACCATGTTGGCCAGGCGGGTCTCAAACTCCTGACCTTGTGATCCACCCACCTCGGCATCCCAAAGTGCTGGGATTACAGGCGTGAGCCACTGCGCCCGACCCTTTTTTTATTTTTTGTAAGATGCAGTCTTACTATCTTGCCTAGGCTGGTCCTGAACTCCTGGGTTCAAGTGAGCCACCTGCCTCAGCCTCCCAAAGTGCTGGGATTATAGGTGTGAGCCACTGCGCCCAGCCTAATCTAACTTTTCATCTGCTTTACTTTCATCTATTCATAAACGTGAGCTGGAAGACCCTCTCTGAAGAGGACCCACTGACTCACGAGTCCATCTCAGTTGGTCAAGGCCCGGGAGAGCGTGGAACAAGGGGAAGTTATCATTTAGTCACAGGATTGGTTGGAGATGGAGGTGCCCACGTGTGCATGGACTTTGCAGCATCATCTGAGCAGTTTTCTACTGCCACACCTCAACTCCTGATAAGAGTCTGATCCCACAATTCAGCAACCCCATAGCCATGGGGCCAGCCTGGGAGTGGGTGACTGACAGCGCCAAATCTGGATGAACCAGGTACACTTTCCAGTGCAGTTCGCCCACCACGCCCACGTGATCTTCTGGGCCAGAGGGTCACTTCCTCCCTGGATGACAGCAAGAACAGGTAGGGGCCCAGGTCTTACCGATGAGCATCAACAGAGCAGCTCCCATGGCGGCACAATGAGAAAAGTGGAGCTCCAGCACTATCTGGTAGGCCATGGGGACGGACAAGGCCCCAGTGAGCGCCGGCAGCAGGCGCAGGGACCACACGGGCACGTTGCTACTGTATTCTGGAAAAGCAACCACACTGCAGAGCTGACTGCACTGCGCACACCATCTCCATGTACTGCAGCTGTGTTTTCACACAGCACCATCACGTTCACAGACTCTAAAATGCACATTTACAAAACTGGGGACCACATCAGCAGCGGAGTGCATAAACCATGGGTGAGGGCTTTGAAATGAGCTTTGCAATAGTCACGGAACCCCATCTCATGAAGCATAGAAAGGACTAAGGATTCTAAAATTACTGCCTTATTTATACATTTACCCTCCCTATTTTCAAAAACATTGTGGCAATGCACAAAATTTACCTGTACAAAAGATAATTGCAATCAGATGCTACATAATAAGTGTACCAAAAACGAGGGCGAAAATAATGACTGTAGCTAAACACTAAGATTTTAACCAGACTTTTCAAAAGTCTTTCATTTGTATACAACCAATTTATTATTTTCTGGACTCAGATTAGTAAGGCACAGTTTCTACGGGATTAGGTATGAAAGGAAAAAGCCACAGTTGTTAATCCCTACAAAAACCACAATCTCTCCATTCTAACCTGTGCACATTAATAAGGGAAATGAAAATTATCTTTTACCTGCTCCAATTCTGTTCCACAAAAAATTGCCATCGAATCCTCCTAAATAACCTGAAACAGAAGATTAATCAGTAACTATCCCATTCAGCAAACATTTCTAGAGTACTGTGGCAAGCAATAAACAAGATGCATCAATAATAAGTCCTGGATTCTGCCCGTAAGAAACGCACTGATAAGTTTTCAATGTATTTGAGGTCCTGAAGGGCAGGGGCTACTCTCCTAACTGATGACTCCTACCTCCCAAGGCCAGCACCATGTGGCCAAACGGCGGCCCACTGTCATCCAAGAAGAAGATTCGTTTCATGTAAAAAGAGATGTACTGCCCGTAATACACTTCGTCAAAACTGAAAAACACACACACACACACACACACAAAAACCCCATATTATATTCAATTAGAATCTTAACTGTCAACAAAAAGTGTGAGGATAAATGTCTATGTATTTCCAAACGACTCTGGGTGGGTGATCAGCAAAGGCTGGATCTTTTGCCCCAACTGTTTCCCATCCCCAGATATTAAGATGCACCCACCCACAGAGACATGTCGAATTCACCAAACACAGCTGGTACTCAGCATGCCTGCCCCATACAGATTCTGTCTCTCCCTCGTGTTTGATTTAGGTGGATACTATGAGCCAACCTGCTGAAAGACCTGCCGGGACACGAGGCTAAGCCTGCCCCCCACCCCCCACCTTTACCCCCACCAGCAGCACGTGTCTGTGGTGATCAGACCTGATGACCCAACAAAACGGTCCCACATATGAAAGGAAACGTGGGAATTAACTGCAATAACGTCTTCAATTAGGGAAAGGTGAAGATAACCAAGAAACCACCGTAAGTTTCTCAGGCATGATAATACAACTGTAGTTATGTGATTTTTGTTTTTAAGAATCCTCAGCCAGGCACAGTGGCTCACACCTGTCATCTCAGCACTTTGGGAAGCTGAGGAAGGTGAATCGCAAGGTCAGGAGTTCAAGACCAGCCTGGTCAACACAGTGAAACCCCTTCTCTACTAAAAATACAAAAATTAGCCAGGCATGATGGCAGGTGCCTGTAATCCCAGCTACTCAGGAGGCTGAGGTAGGAGAATCCCTTGAAGCCGGGAGGCAGAGGTTACAGCAAGCCAAGATCACACCATTGCACTACAGCCTGGGTGACAGAGTGAGACTCTGTCTGGAAAAAAAAAAAAAAAAAGAATCCTCATCTTTTACAGATATACTGCTGAATTATCTAGGAATACAGTATGTCTAGGATTTGTTTCAAAGTAAAATCCACTGCAGGGAGGGGTCTGGCTGTGAACTGACAAGGTGAAGCTGGGTAATGAATATACTGGTGTGTGTGGGGGGCTCATTCATTATACTCGTCTCCCTGCTTTTGTATGTGATTGATGTTTTCCATAATACAAGGTTAAAAAAGAACATGCAGCAGGCAGAGTGGCTCACGCCTGTAATCCTAACACTTTGGGGGACCGAGGTGGGTAGATGATGAGGTCAGGAGTTCAATACCAGCCTGGCCAACATGGTGAAACCCCGTCTCTACTAAAAATACAAAAATTAGCCAGCCGTGGTGGCGGGCACCTATAAATCCCAGCTACTCAGGAGGATGAAGCAGAGAATTACTTGAACCCAGGAGGCAGAGGCTGCAGTGAGCTGAGATGACCCCACTGCACTCCAACCTGGGCGACAAAGCAAGACTCCATCTCAAAAACAAAAACAAAAACAAGAACAAAAAACGGCCGGGCGCGGTGGCTCACGCCTGTAATCCCAGCACTCTGGGAGGCCCAGGCGCGCAGATCACAAGGTCAGGAGGTCGAGACCATCCTGGCTAATACGGTGAAACCCTGTCTCTACTAAAAATACAAAAACTTAGCCCGGAGTGGTGGCGGGCGCCTGTAGTCCCAGCTACTCAAGAGGCTGAGGCAGGAGAACAGTATGAACCCGGGAGGCGGAGCTTGCAGTGAGCCGAGATCGCGCCACTGCACTCCGGCCTGGGTGACAGAGTGAGACTCCGTCTCAAACAAACAAACAAACAAACAAAAAACACCCATTAATCAGTTAATAAAGAGCCCTTCAATAATAACAGCAATCCCTTCCCATTATGACAAAAACACATTCTGAGTGCTCTCAACAGTGAAGACTCACTTCCAAATCCATCAATCCTCTGCCGCCCAGACTTTAAAACTGTTACCCAAGGTTGGCAACCAGATTTTCCTCTACTGCACCTATTTAATGGGCCAAATTTCACCTGCTACAGACCCAGAAGGCAAGACCTAAAAGGTGTACTCTGCTGGGGCTGTCCTGGGGACAGGCTGGTGTCTCCTCTCACTGCCAAAAACATCTATCACCAAAAAGCCAGGATTTCACGCTCTCATTTATGCTCTTCAGTAAGGCTCCCCCTATCACAAAGTACAATTCCAGATTCACCCTGGGAATGGAGTCACTTAGCTTACACCACAGCCCGCGGGTACGTGAGTCGCCACAGCCGGCTCAGTAACCCCATCCCAGTCAGGGCCACGAGGCTCAAGTTGATGTCAGCCGTCACCACCATAGGGCGCTTCAAAAATCCCCACATCTTGTAGAAAAGTGGGCTCAGGCAGATGCCCTAGAAAAGAAGGGAGAAGCCGTGGTCAATGAGGGCTCACGAGAAGCTGCAAAAGGAATCCCCAGCCACCTGGCTCCCAGACGCGCCCTGAGAGAACCGCAGCACAGCCGGGCTGCTGAGAAAGGCCTCAGTTCCTGGAGCCTTGGTTCAGGTAGACATGTGGGGTGAGGGGCCCTAGCAGTGAACTCGGGTGGGAATTCAGGGGATCTCAGGACTGGACATTCACTCCTGTCAACTCATTCCATAAAACCTGCTGAGCACGTCTTGGGAGCGAGAACACCGCTAAGGAATGCCAGGGTTTCTCCCCTCCCTCCCCGACGACCAGGAGCCCACACCACAGCTCTCTGACCCTGGGCAGCTCCTGGGTGCCAGCTCAGCTGCTCGGCCCAGGGACCCCAACCTGGCCGAGCCTCGAGGCCTCCTTATCTCTCCTCAAGGATGCATCTGCCCCCAGTGCCTCCCTGCCTTCTCTTCCAGCGGCACATCATCCCCAGGTGCTCCCTTTCTCGCCTGGAGGGTGCATTTGCACCCTGCGCCTCCACGTTCTCCTCCAGGCTTCATCTTCCCTTGAGCGCCGCTTCTCTTGAGGATGCATCAGCCCTGGGGCATCCTGTCTCACACCAAAGCCGCATCTGGCCGCTGGCGCCCTGCTGGCATCCTCAGGCCCCATCTACCCTGGACGCGCCTTTCCCTCCCTAAGCTGCACCTGCCTTGAGCGCCTTCCTCCCAAAAGGTCCCACCTGTCCTGGGAATACCTCCTCTCCTCGTCGGCCCTTCTTCCCCACAGGCCGCACCTGGCCCGGCCACCAACTCCCGAGGCTGCGTCGGCCCCAGCTCCGTCCTCACCCTGAGGCTGCACCCGCAGCACGCTCTTCCTCCCTAGGGCTGCACGCGCCGCGGATTCTTACTTCGGGGCTCTGTCGGCCAGACGCCGCACCTGCCCGGGCCGGAACCCCGCCCCCGGCTCCGGCAAGACTTGGACGCCCTCGTCCCGCACTGACTCTCCCGAGTCCGGGCTGGGCTGTCGTCCCCGGTGTCCCCAAACGTACCCGCGTTTCTCCGAGTCCAGGCAGAGCCGCTCCCGGCGCCGGGCAACGCCTCGGAACCGTCCCACTGGGCCGACGGTTGGGGGTGAGGCCGCTCAGCACTCCGCACCGCCCGCCGCCCTGCTCGACGTTCGATTCACCGCGCCTGCGGGGGTCCGGCGGGTAGCAACGCGCGTGCGTACTGGGCGAGGGTGACGCGCGTGCGCAGCGGGCGAGAGCTCCAGGCCCGAGGGAGAAGCAGGTGTGAAACGCGGGAGTTCGCCTCCCTCCGGTGCTACTGCTTTGTGTGCCAGGATTTCTGTGTACTCTAAGCAGACATGCAGCTTTTTAAAAGCGCAGTGGGCTCCCACCCATCTTCTGCTCCTTGCTTTTTCACTCTATCTGGCGTGGAGATCTTAAATCTGCGTCTGCACAAGGGCGTTCTGCCTGGCGCACCAGTTTGCTAGTTCTTTTCTTTTTTTTGAGACGGAGTTTCGCTCTTGTTGCCCAGGCTGGAGTGCAATGGCGCGATCTCGGCTCACCAAAACCTCCGCTTCCCAGGTTCAAGCGATTCTCCTGCCTCAGCCTTTCCAGTAGCTGAGATTAAAGGCGCCCGCCACCACGCCCGGTTAATTTTTGTATTTTTAGTAGAGACGGGGTTTCACCATGTTGGCCAGGCTGGTCTTGAACTCCCGACCTGAAGTGATCTGCTCGACTTGGCCTCCCAAAGTGCTGGGATTACAGGCATGAGCCACCGCGTCCGGCCTTAATTTTCTGATACGGGGTCTCGCTCTGTCGCCCAGGCTGGAGTACAGTGGCAGGACCACGGCTTGCTGCAGCCTCGACCTCTCTGCCCCAACCTCTCTGCCTCAAGCGATCCTCCCTCCTCGGCCTCCAGAGCAGCTGAGACCACAGGTGCGTGCTCCCACGCCCATGGGCGCTCCTAGTTTTCTTGCCAAAAAACATCGATGCCACGAATCTGCTTGCACATACATCTAGTGAAGTGGCTGAGGGTAAGTGCATTTAAAAAGCACCTAGGGCCGGGGGCGGTGGCTCACACCTGTAACCCCAGCACTTTGGGTGGCCGAGGTGGGAGGATCGCGTGAGCCCGCGAGTTCCAGAAGAGCCTGGGCAACATAGGGAGACCACGTTTCCATAAAAAAATTGCAAAAATTAGCCGGGCCTGTTGGCGTCCGCCTGCAGTCCCAGCTACAAGGGAGGCTGAGGCAGGAGATCGCTTGGGGCAGGGAGGCCGAGGCTGCAGTGAGCCTTGGTCTCACCACTGCACTCCAGCCTGGACTACAGAGTGAGACCCTGTCTCAAAACAAAAAACAAAACCAAAAAAACCCCGGACATGAGTGGGGGCTGCAAGACCATCAGAGGCTCCAGTGGGGGCATCTCCCCCTAAACTCCGTGGCAGAAGACTGGAGGCTTCTTCCTCCCTTCCCAGGGCTCCTCCTCCTTCTCCATCAGCCTCTCCAGCCCTCTGTGCTCAGGGTCAAGAGCCTTCCCAAAGGCCTGCTTTGGGGCAGACATGGTACTTTTGGTTGGGTAAATGCACCCCTTCCCATGTTTTCCCTGGAACAGTCGGCACCCAGAGCAGGGTAACTGACAGCAACGCAACCAGGCTGATGGATCACTCTTCTCAGCCTCACTTCTTCTTGATCTCCTGGTCTATTTGTATGTTAATCTATGCAGACCAAAAGGACACACTGCAGGTTTAATAACCTTAATTACGGTTCTTGGCTGTCTGCAAGATTTTTTTTCCATGTTGGTCAACATAGCATTAGATGACATCAGTTGAGAATTTAGTGGTTACTTTTTTTTTTTTTTTTTTTTTTTTTTGAGACGGAGTCTTGCTCTGTCCCCCAGGCTGGAGTGCAGTGGCGCGATCTCGGCTCACTGCAAGCTCCGCCTCCTGGATTTACGCCATTCTCCTGCCTCAGCCTCCCGAATAGCTGGGACTACAGGCGCCCGCCACCTCGCCCGGTTAGTTTTTTTGTATTTTTAGTAGAGACGGGGTTTCACCGTGTTAGCCAGGATGGTCTCGATCTCCTGACCTTGTGATCCGCCCGCCTCGGCCTCCCAAAGTGCTGGGATTACAGGCTTGAGCCACCGCGCCCGGCCTAGTGGTTACTTCTTTATGGCTTACCCTTGAGGGGTTATGTGACTCACCCAAGATCCCACAGAGAGGGAAGGAGCTGGGGCTCACCTGTGTTTGTGGCCAGAGGCTGCAGGCAAACTGTGTTTACAGTGGGCAGGGAAGGTTCCCTGGGCCCCAGGAGGGAGTGGGGCTGGCCTGTTGAGCTTTGGTTCATGCCATGCTAACAGTGGTGGTGCCTCAGGACTGAGAGCCTCCATCTTGCAAGTCCCCAACCTCAGGACTAGCCTCCTTCAGGGCCCGTCTCCCTTTGAGATTTTCTGAGCCACCTGTCCCTAGGGAGCAGTGAATCAGGGCAGTGAGTGTGGCTGGTTAAAGCCGAGATGCCTGTGCCCAGGTCCCCAACTCTCTTCCATAGTCAAAAGACTTAGAAGGAAGTTGAGGGATTGGTGTTTCTCACGGAAACAGCGTTTTATTTCTTGGAGGTAATTTGTAAGTTTTCTTAGCTGGTTCTAGGCACTAAGCTAAAAGCTATTGGTGACTTTGAATCTGCACTACCCCATGAGGTCGATACCATTACAGTCTGCATTTTATGATCAAGGAGACTGACTCTTTCCCCAGGTCACACAGTGAGGCAATGGCAAAACCGAGAACTGCTGCCTCAACTCATTCGTACCTTTTAGTCTTCGCTGCCGCAGGCCTGGCTTGGCTTGCTCCTTCCCCACCCCAAAGCACAGCATAATCCTCCTCCACTTCCTGCAAAAGCACTGCTGGAAGTGACACCACCACACACCACATCAAATGCTGACCTCCTCTGACCAGCTCATTTCTCGTGGCAAGTGACGGGGCCGCAGGCAGGCTCTGCACACAGCCGGATGCCACCCATGGGAAGAGAGTGGAGAGCGCTTGATGCTGCAGCATTTGGAAGATGCTTCTTAACCACGGGTTTCAATCCCTTCTCTACCCATACAGCTTCTGTTAAGGCATTTCGGCCGTGCCACTCCTAATTGCCATGTGAACTCTGTAAAATTAGAACGCTTTGATCTGTAGTTTTCTCTGGTCAAATTACCAAGAAAAGAGGGATGTACAACCTGAGAAAGCATGTTCAGCTTTATCTTTTTACACTTTTTTTATTTAAATAAGGAGAATTCTTTCATATGGAAAGAGCTAGTACAATCACATATTTGAAAGGAGAAACAATAGGTACTGAACCGGAGGGAAAGGGCGAGGGTTTGAGTGTGCCAGCACCGGCCTGGTGAATCCACGATTCCATTTCCCATCCAAGGTGAGTTTCCCGAAATAACATCTAAACAAGCTGCACTTACACCGCTAGCCATCGTCTGCCCTTTCAAATATCTGGTCTACATGGAAAGACAAAGAGGAAAGGCCAAAACATAAACAAAAGGAAACAAAACAAAACACAACCCTCTCAGGAACCAAACAAAAACCCCCAAATCCTTTTTTACTACACAAGGCATGAGGTCAAAAGCTTAAGAGTACAGTGTCCCCTTTAGATCATGGGAGAAAGGTGTCCACACAGAGCCTTAGCAGGAATTTCCACTCCGAGGCTCCAGAACATGCTGAAGATGGGGGCTCTGGGGGTGCCACTACCATCCTGGAGGCCACCAATTGGGGTAGAGACAGTGAAGAGCAGGTCTCACGTGCCCGAAGACCACCAGCCAGATATACACTGGTGGCCCTGGTGGAGCATGGCAGGGCAACAGCGTCCATCTCCAACACCAAGCCACTCCTGTCCTGGATGACTTCCTGCTTAGGTCCGTCACATTTCAGAAGAGAGCTGGCTTTCTGGAAGCCTATGTTTCCCATTCATCACAGAGTATGACAGAGCACACACACTCTGGTATCCTTGGTCTTCAAAGGCCATTTCCAGCAGACCCTCTAACCTAGGCTTGCTCTGCAGGAAGTGAAAAGGGACAAATGAAGATTTGAGGGGCAGCCTGCAGTTACTTGGCAGAGGGGAACCAAATGGCAAGGGAGCAGGCTCCACCAGAGCTGTCATGCTGCCGCCGCAGGCCACGCCACGCCACAGCACGGCCGTGCACCTGTGTGCGCTCAGCTTCCAGAAGGCGTCACTGACCATCCGGAAGGCAGATCCGTAAGATAGGAGGGCGACAGCTCGGCTGGAGAGCACTGATGTCAATGTTTAACAAGGTACCCCAGTGTCCCTAGAAGTGGCTGGAAGGACCACAGCTTTGGAACTGAACTGATTTTCTTGAATGTGAGATAAAGTCATCCTTTGTTTTCCCCCTTAAGGAACCTAGAGCCAGAGTGTCTATGAATTCCAAGTTTGAAAACAATACAAAGGTTTAAATAAAAAAAAAACTGGGGGGAGAAGCCAACAGTGAAGAAAACCAAACCGAATGCAGCTGGCATTGAAGTCCCCAGTGGGTGGATGAGCATTTCAGATGCACACCCACACTCTGGACTTCATCCCACTCTAGCGGACAGTGGACAAATACCACCACAAGGCCACTGGTTGCTGAGCAGTGGGCCGCACCCCCGATGGCAAAGGCAGAGCTGCCAGCATCGGGAAGAGGGCAACTTGAGCAGGCAAGAGTGAGTGGCTTCTGACCCCCCACTCAGCAGCAGAAAAGGCAAGTGCTAGTCTCCACCTGTTCCCACCAAGGCCCCGTGGTATCCTGGCAGAAGCCTCTGCATGGATCTGCGCTCTGAAGATGGGGGTTGGAAAACAAAATAAGACCCTAGTCCTACTACCGTGAGCTTGGCTCTCAAACCACGTGAAAGGAAGAGAGATATTGCACCTTCAAACGTCTCTGCACTAAGAACTGCATTTCATCAGACCAAGGAGGGGTTGGGGCGCTGGGAGGCCTGAGGCCTGCCCTCAGCCCCCAGTCTCATTTAAAATCTGCAGCTCAGCGAAGAGACTGCAGCTCAGGTCACACAGAGGTGGTGACTGCACCGAACTTCACATGCAATTTCCTGGCCTTTCCTGCACAGAATTAATTCAGACATTATATATAAATAGAGCAGTGAAACATTTACTTCTTTTTTTTTTCATCTAGACCTACAACATCAATACATATAAATAAATTCTAGTGTTTTTTGTTTTTTTATTTGGGGTCGGGGAGAAGGAAGGAAGGAAATACCGGGTAAGAGAAAAGGGCTGGAGAACAGGTGACCTTTTTGTTTTTATTTTTTCTCAAACAGCAAGTACTGTGGGTCTGATGCCAGGTTCACCTGAAGGGTATATCTTTTTAACAGCATCCGGGAGGCTTTTTCTTTCGACAAATCATACGCATCACCGCGTCAGGTGGGAGGGGTCTCGCCATGTGGCTCAAGTGTCCAGGTGGAGATGAATGTGTGGCTCCCGCAGGCCTGGACTCACCCAGGAATGGCTTGGCAAGGGGGGCGGATAGGGACAAAGAGGGCTCATCCCAGGCCCCACAAGCAGCCGCTTGCAGTGGGAGAAGGGAAAGCAGACACGCAGCTCAGGTAGGGAATGCGCGGAACTGTCAGGTGGACAGCCCCTGGGGAAAGGACTCCAGCGTAAAGACTCTGGATGAAGAGGGAAAAGACCAGGTGAGGGCAGGAGGGGAGCTGCTGAAAGATGCAGGTGAACAGTAAAGCAGCTTTCAGTAAAACTGCTCCTTCCCAGGCAGCTCTGGGGTGGGCACTGTTCGTAGGAGGCCGTTCTCCCACTTCCTTAGAATTGTGAGAGCAGTAAGAAGTTACTTTAGTAGTTCCTAAGATGCTCCTTCCCCATGTTCTACACTAGACACAGAGCTTAAGAGCCCAAGCCCGAGCACTGTCCTGCACCCGTGAGACGCCGAGGACAGCCTCGGGGGGGTGCATCCCTGGCCTTCTCCTCACAGTGTTCTGAGCTGGCCTCCTCTGGAAAAGCAGGTAGACGCTCAGTGACCCCTAAGAACAGCTAAGAAACTTGAACTGTCCCCTTCCCTTTCCTCGGAATGACAGAATCTGGAGTGATTTCCTTGTTTCTTATTTAACGACGACAAGCCCAGCACACGATGGCTCACACAAGCCTCTGGCTGGAGAAGCTGCCCCTGCAGAGACTGCGCAGGCCCTCTGGACCTTGGTCAGCCCTCACCTAGCCTCACCCTGTCCCCCGCCCCGGTCATCTGAAGACAAATGAGACTGATGCCTGCTGCTTAGCTCAGGCCCTCCTGTCCTGACAACCTGGGTCTGCCGTTGGGAGTGAAGCAAAGGAGGAAAAGGACAAACTCCCAGCGGCCTCACTTGGGGACCACACGCAGGTCCACTCCTCCGTCACCAAGCGACGAGCTGTGTGGGAGGTGGAGACGGGTCCAGAGAAAGCAGCAGGCTCCAGAAGAGGAAGGAAGGAAAACAACAGGTTACAGAAGGCTTCAAGGAAAGAGTGCGTGAAACACAGTGCCCCTGAGGGGCAGCGTGTGGAGCCCCAGAAGCAGAGGGCACGGGGCCTGGGATGGGCCTGTGGTGTCTCAGCTCATCCCATCTGGGCCAGCCTGGGAGCCACCAGCAGCCACCTCCATGACTGGTCTCTAGTGCTCAGCACATCCACTGGCTTCAGAGCAGCTCAGGACAGGGACCCTGTGTGATTCTCATGCTAAAACCGTCATCAAGTTCATGGGCTGCCTGTAGGCACCCTGGGCTCATCAGGCCAGGAGCTGGAACCCAACTGTGACCCCCCTGCCGCCACCTGCCTGCTGCTCTGCGCACCCCATTGCTTCCCAGGCGGGGAGCCAGGCACCAGAGTGCTCGCAACGGGTGCCCTCGAGAACCTCCATTTCCTTTTGCAAATAACCTCAAAGATGAACCAGCTGAGGAATCAGGAGGGGATGCATTCTTAAGAGTCGTCTCTTAAGGTACTGCAGTGACATATCAAATTAAACAGGACAGAGGCTAGAGATAGGAGGGAGGGCAGGGGCTGGCGAGAAACATATAAAAGTTCAGCTATACACAGGGAGCTTGCGTTTCTGTTTTCTTTTCCTTTCCCCTTTGTAAAAACCTTGGCTACATTTTAAAACAAAAAGCCTCAAAGTAAAATGACCCTGCTGCCAAACCACTGTGCCTAGGAATGGGCGGCTGGGCCGGAAGCACTGCTGAGAAGGCGCCCTGGCTGTGCGGCAGGACAGGGAGGAGGCAGGGAGGGCGGATCTGCACTGCACGGGAGGCATCACTCCACGGTCACGGTGGGAGCAGATGGGATGAAGGTGTCGTTTGCTTTTTTGTTTCATATCAAAGCAAGCGGGTCAATGCCATGTATCCACGGGTGCAAGCTGGTTGACAACGGAGCTTTTCGGGAGTGGAGAGGAGGGAGGTCTCTCAGTCCGGGCCAGGCATTTGGACGGTGGATCTGGTGAGGCTCCCGAGTGTCGGCTATGTCAAGGCCGCATGGCGGCACCATCCCCAGTGGGGCGACATGAGGTGGCAGCAGGCACCATCAGGCCTTACTCTCCTCCACTTTGACAGCCCGAGGCTTGATCGCTCCGGTTCGCTTCATCTGGGAGGCAGCCGAGGGGGCCTCCTGCAGCTTCACGGCTCCCAGGCTGGGTTTCTCATCCACTCGTTTTGCCTTTGGACAGATGAATGGGAAAAACAAAGTGACCCTGGCGCTGAAGCGTGTTTGGACACACAGTTCCCACCACTCCCTTCCTGCTCCTGAGATGCAGGGAAAGCTCCCTTAAGTCGTCCGTCCCTTGGTTGAAGGACCAGACTTAGAAACCCTCCTCCTAGTAAGGAAAGTGGCGTGAGTGCCCTCTCTGCTCCCTCCCCATGAGCCCTGAGTGCAGTGATTCGGAGAGGCAGGAAGACACCGGGTCCTCCACAAAGAATTCCGCCATGGCACATCCCAGGGCGGAAGCAGTTCTGGTCCCAAGGCCAACTGGAAGAACCTTTTCAAATCAGTGCACCTCCTGCCCCGCAGGCAAAAAAGCCCCTTCGAGTAGATCCAAGTGCCCCCTGCACGTCTCGGAGCCCCCGACTGTCTGCTGGGGCCCTAGGCAGACTTGGCTCCCACAGATCTCTGGCCGCGATTCAGCCAAACCCCCTACCACTCCCACTCTGTAACCTTTTCCTGGGGCCCCATTCCTAGTCAGGGCTCCCCTGGTCTGTGGCTCTCCACAGGGAGTAGGGTAGGGAAGTCACAGAGCAGTCAGCGCATCTGCCCCCCACCAGGTCTGAACTCTGGAAGAAAGCTTTAGAAGCTCATTCCACACAACTCTCATGACCCCCAAGGGAACCAATGAGAGCAATCACTGCCCACCTCTACCAGCCAGGCACAGTGACTGATTAAAAACCCAGGTCTGAGGGGCCTAAGCTCTGAGCCCCAGCATGTTTTAGAGAACAGAGAAGAGAATAGTGCCTGCAGGAAAATACACTGCGATGTCCTTTTCATTATATGGGTAAAATTAACTTCACCTGTGCTCCCACCCGGCCAAGACAAAAACGAGACACACCACTGACCAGAACCAGCGCGCGCACCCGGGCTCCTAGAGCCGACCCCCAAACCTAACCGAGTCTCCCAGGGCACCTCAGCCCCGACCTGCCAGGGCTGGTCCACCTTCCAGCACCACCTCCTCAGAGGAATCGGCATCCTCCCTTCTCTGCAGGACAAGGAAGGATCCAGACGCCCGTGAAGAGAAATGCCTTCGCCAGGAGGGACGCGGATGGCCCAGCTCCTGGTTCCGTGCTCTAACCGCTAGGGCATGGCTCTCTTTAGACAAGGAGCGCTCAGATAGGTTGGACAGTCCCTTCTCTTTTGGCGCTTGGAGACAGGCCTAAGTGTCCAGGGCTGAAGGGTCTGGAAAGCCATCTTCTACCTGTTGCACGTAGTGTCCCTGCACAGAGCCCATGTTAACTGCTGATCCAGAGGGCTTCCCACTGGGGCTAGCAGAGCTAGGCCTGAAAAAACCAAAGGCAGGGGTTGAGAATACACAACGTGTCACCACAGAAATGGAGTCAAAGCCTAGCACACGGAGGAGGCACAAGGAAGGAAGGGCCTGTGGCCAGAGGCGCGTGCTCAGGACGGTCCGTGGATCTCTTGGATGGAAAACAACCATAGACCTAAGACAGCCCAGAACGCAGAATGGTGAGGGGGTGGCTGTCACTGACCACCCCAGCACCTCTAGGACAGCTCAAGGAGACGCACCACAAGAGAGGGAGGCCGAGGCCCTGTACAGGTGGGAACGGCTGTCCTGCTGTGCAGAAAGCAACACTGGCTGTCTCAGGGTCTGGACCAACATGATGCAGTGCCCCAGACAAAAGGCCTAGAAGCCTGACACTGAGCCAGAACTGTGCCGAGTATTGTTCTAGTCTTAACTTTTTAGAAGAAGGGGTGGGGGAACCAAAATGTACAACATACTTCTAAATGTGTCCCACTGACCACTAGTTAGTTCCCAGGGATGTTGTGGGTGCTACGTGGAAAACAAGTCTGCGGTCAAAAAGCCTAAGTGCCGTGTGCAGAGTTCAACAGGACTCTCAACCTAGGGCCGCTCAGCCTCTGTGTGGTGAATACCCTCCCCAGCAGGCCACCCCGGGGACAGCACTCCCCCAAGGACCTGACCAGGGAACCCTTGTTTTTGCAGCGCACGTCTCGGCAGCTCTATTTCCAGAACACTTTGGGAAACACTGCTTTACACAATTATAGCAATTCCCCAACCCCCCTAAAACACCATAGAAACAAAGCTACTAGTTTAAGGCTTCCACTGTCTAAATATGCT